AAAGCCACTTGCTGCGAACTTTTCTTCGCGGAAGCTTTGCGTTAAACAAGTGAGATAACGAAATATTTAAATCTCTAATCAATATTTTTTGTCCAATTATTTGCCCAGTTAGTTTTGGTATTGAGGTAAAAATTATCTTGCATTCACTATACAACAGTGGGTGGTGGTCACGAAGATGACGGAGCAAATTTGAGGCGTTTCCCCCTTTTTGCAGCGACTTTCTTCTTGCAAGATCGGTAGACAGGGTGACCGTCCTCGATTAAATTGCCTTCAGGACTCTTGTAAAAGCCAAAATACGACCAGACCACCGATTTGGTCCTCTTAGATGGCTGAAAAATCTCCCGAGCGCTGTCAACTGCCTTCCGCCATTTCGTCTCGTGCAAAAAAACAAAAAACAACAACAACATTGCATGCTGCTTCTGCGTCAGACTGATGCTGGCTGGACAGGATTTACCGCAAGTTTTCAAAAGCGCGATAATCAAACACGGTTTTGATGATAATTAAATTTTAAACGGTAATACTAACCGTCAGTGCATTTTATCGTGATTTATCATGAAACCGGTAATCGTTCCATCCCTAAATCCTTTAAATACATAAAATCTTGTCTGGCACAATACACAGAACTTTAGTGAAATGTAAAATCTTTCACATTTGTGTGTAGTAATTCTGTATAAATCTTTTAATGACATGGTCCATTTGCAGGTATGTTATCAAATATAAAGATGTGTTCTTTAAGTTTGTGTGCCTGCATCAGGCAGGTTTAAAGGGACCAGCAAACCTCTGGGGCCCAGAGAGAGGCAGCACAAACAACAATACACCTCCTCGTCTTTTAAAAGCTTAGCCGGGTTTTCAGAGGAGCGGGCCATTCACAATCCAGTCTTTGTGTGAGCAGGGGGACTGTTTGTCAAGTGGCCACTTACCCAGTTCATCTGCAGGTTCTGAAACTCCAGACCAAAATAATCGCTCTCAATGAGATGGATCCGTCTGAACACTTCAGAGGAAAGAGTTTGCCCATCCGCTTTTGACTACAAGAGAGAGGGGAAAACAAGACATTCAATTAATACATTTATTAGGAAAAAAATTTTTTTTTTATAATCATGACAAAATTGGCTGATTAAATTATTTGCTGATTAACAAATAATAACAATTAATGCTTTAATAGTCCATTTTGTTCATTACAGGGCAAGCATAATACATAAACATACACCTTGAAAAGGTGTCATTGTCATTTATTTACACTAGAATTATTCAACAATAAAAATTATGATTTCCTTTAAGGCTACATATATAAAAAATACTGCACAAGAGTAAGATGACATGAATAATAATATTTTAAATATTATATAATTGAATAAAAGCTTTCAATAAATAAATAAATTTAATTAATTTGAATATTTCTTTTCACTTTCCATTCACACTCATCTGTTTTTTTTAACCAATCCAACCTAATTATAATATTATGGCAATATAATATTGGTTATTGTTGTTATGAATATCAGAATATTATGCATTAGTAATACATTTCAAAACATTCTTAATATGTGAGGCTGAAATTAAGCAAAATTGCAGTTATTAATTATAACGGCAATTCAATCAAATTGATTTAAAGTCTAAATAATTCTTAGTTAAAAGTTGTAGTTAATTTTATATAACATGGTCTACATTTCTTCATATTTCTTTTCTGTTCTTTAAGATTATGGGGTTGTGAGGGCAAAAATATTTCTGTGGAAAAGCAGCTGCGTCTGCTATGAAGTCGCTGGATATTTGAGGCTAATGGGTGTCAGCGAGAAATATCTGTGGCCTATCGGAGTAATTCTCCACAGCGTGCAGCCGGGCCAAAACCAGACACCAAGCCACAATACAGTCAATCTCTCTGAGATCAGCTGGACTGTCTGTTGTAAACATTTAACTGTGAAAGGCGAGGAGAACATCTGAGGACATTTCAGGGCACATAGGCGGTTAAACCTGCTTAAAGGAAAAAAGGGTTTTCCCTGTAAACGGATTCAGGGGTTTGTCATTACAAAATGAAGGACTAATTACTATGTACCCAGAACACACTGCACTTAGGTTTTGCCATTCGAGCCTGTGACTTTCTGGGAAAATTATACAGCAGACAGCTGTTTGCAATGTGAAATGTATTTTAAAGACCATAAAAACAGCCTGACTTGAATTGGGCCGGCCAGATTGTTACCCTCCAGTTCTTTGGTACGTTCTAAACTTGACTGATTCTTTCTACCTTTAATACAGTTTCTTAAGTATGTATGTATGTATGTATGTATGTATGTTCCTAATGTACTCTCTGTGCCAAGCAGGGCAGGTAAGCACCTTCCAAATGGCCTCCTCTTGGCTCTGCCAAAACTACTTTTAATAATTTTTAATTGTTATTTTGATCTGAAGAAGCAAAAATTATGATACCATTGTTGTTAGAATTTAATGCTGATATGAAATACAGTAGGGCTGGGTATCAATACAGATGTCCAGATTTGATTCTGATTCATAAGCCCTCAACTTGATTCAGATTTAGAATCAATTCTTAATTTAATTTGGGGATATTTCAGTTACAATGTCATTCATAATTTTGCCACTATTCTCTGTCCTCTAATGTTGTAAATTATACAGGGCAGTGTTTCATAATTCAAAACCGGTAATTCACCCTTTTTAAATATTCTTCAAAAGAACTGGCCCATAAAAGTCATTCATTTCTGGAATCAGGCTACACTGGTCGTGCTGTACATTCTTGAATCCCCAAGAACGTCTCTCGCAAAGTATGATTTCTTCTACCTTGGCACTGAATTATTATTGGATCACTCAAGATCACAATTAATTGGGGAGAAGAAAAAAAAAAAAAAAAAATCACCCAGCCCTCAAATGTATTATTGAAATGTAATCTGGATAAAAAGTTAGGGCCCGAAATAGATAAATATTAACGCAGTTTTGTTTAATTCACACATACTGAAGCACGTAATGCTCATGGTGTCTTCAGCCTCTGCCGCCTCAATATATGAGTACATGAACAGATAAACATAATCTCTAAAACTGTCCAGAGAGTCACCTCATGAGCATTTTACAGTTTCTTTTGAGAAAGCAAGAATGCAAGCTATGAAGGGCACAGAAGCCATTTTTGTTATGTGAATAAATAAAAGTATTTAGTTATAAATAAATGACAATAAAAAAAAAAATTTAAACAATTTTTTGACAGATTCCTAAAATGTGTTTTCTCTTTATTATGGCAGGTGGTCTAATAAATTGTTAAGAAAAGCATTCAGTTGGAACGTTTGTTTTAAGGACATTGGGCAGAATGTGGAATAGTGTGTTTTTGTCAATAAAATAAAAAAAGAAAATAGTTTGTTTTAATCCGATTAATCGAAAAAATAATCGACCAACTAATCGATTATCAAAATAATCGTTAGTTGCAGCCCTATTTGAGAAACACTATCATCAGATCATATACAAAAAGAAACTTAAAGGTCTTCACAGCAACACGTCAAAATAAAAGTTTGGTTTAACTTGAAGAAACTGTAACAGAAATTACTTATTGTAATGATACTACTATTACTAATAAAAAAAATGAAAACATTATTTTTTAAGGAATATTTACAAGAAAAATTATTTACCAGAATTTACTTGGCAGAAAAATGTTAATTCATATTTTTTTTATAAATCAATTCATTAGAGATGCTTTTGATTATTCAAATTTAATGAAACCATTCAAATCGAATCCAGAAAATTAATGGAAAACAGAATTTGAGAAAAAAAAATTCCTGGCCTTATTAGTTTTTGTTAAACTTTTAATAAATTGCTGTTAAATTGTGTAAGTTTCCGGATTTAATTTAACTAGTCTAGAAAAACTAATATTGAAAAAAAAAAACTGAATTTGGGGAAGAAAAAAAAAATTTAATTTGGGGAAAAAAAAATCAAACAGATTTCATAAGGCCCTATTCATGTAAACATGCTTGGATTCCGATTGAAACAAAAAGTGTCCATGTAAACATGGCTATTGTTATAAAATATTTCTATTTCAAATAAATGCTGTTCTTCTGAACTTTTTATTCACCAAAATATCCTGAAATAAATTACATAGTTTCCTAAAAAATAATAAGGAATTTGTTTTGAGCACCAAATTAGCATATTAGATTGATTTCTGAGTGACATTAACATTTTAAAATATATTGAAATAGAAAATAGTTATTTTAAATTGGAATAAATATTTCACACTTTTGAAGAGTAGTGCAAGTTATACTACTACGTCTATAACTTTTAAAGAAAATAGCCAAAAATGGCTGCCAATTGAGGGATTTTGATGTACAATCACTCAATTTTTAGGCACTACAATAAAACAATGAAAACCCACTGCTGGTTATGAACACATCTTCGACGTTCTCACATGTGAGGTGTGTCTTAAGCTTGAAAGTGAATTCTACAGCCTCTCAGTTCACATACTTCAGCAAAAATTGGATTAAATCTCTTTTCTACAGCTTTCTCAAGCACCCTAAACTAAAAGCCCATTAGAAGCGCAGCATAACAAAACTAAGCTGTGGATCAACTTGGTGGCGTTGACTGCAACAAGGAAAAACCACCTGGATCATATTTTCCATGTGTCACAGAGCAGAGCCCGCCGAACCCTCGAAGCACACAGACGTTATCCAGCGTGTAGGAGTTTCCCTGTTACAGTAGGAGTGTCAGCTGGGCAGGTTTATGGGTCAACAGTGGCTGGGATTACTGAGCAGCAGATGTTCACAGTCTGGGGAATCTTTCTCGTATTCACCAAGCCAACTTAGACTACACTGGCAACTGCTGAATCCAAACTAACAGTAGTGTGTAAGCTTTTGCATGTGAACAGAATCTATGTGATCATGCGTTTGAGCGCTGACTGTGTTTGGGCATGTTGAGATCTCAGCAGGAGGCATTTCTTTCTCACACACTAAGCAGGTAGCAGCTTTTGCTATGTTGCAACGATTTCAGCCACACCTTGACACCAAGCGATAACAAAACGTTGTAAATCATTGACATGGCAGTTACAAGAATGGATTAAAGTGTTTCTTGTGCCGTGGCTGCTGAATCTTCAGCACCACAGGCCCTAAGTAAAAGAAATCATACAGAACGAACATAATGTGATATAAAAAGTAAGAGAATACGTAAATACAAACATACAGCACAAGCAGTTCAAAAATGACCAGCCAATGTCTCTTCAGAAAGGTTATTTTGATGAACTGTTCAAAAGATTCACAGGTTTAGTGATCAGAATTAAATCCTTAACTAAATGAACTCACTGAATCAGAGTAGTCAATGAATCAACATCTGACTTGCTAAAGGTTGTGATGAAAAATAAGTAGTGACAAAAACCCTTTATTCCATATTGTGGCGTACATCTGACTAACAGATTATCAAAAAAAGAATACAAAATAAGACGGGGAAGTGGTTCTATGCATCGGTTGTTGTTATTAGATATTTTAGATATTTAAAAGTGAATGCGAGCTTGTAGCTGATTGTGGAGGACTGGGGTTTAATTACATACATCCGGCAAGCATCACCAGTCTAGTCTGCCATTTCCACCAGATGATAGAGTTGAAATTTTCATTAATTGGATGATTTTTAAAATTTTGATTAAACATTGCTAGGGCAAAAAAAAAAATCTAATATTAAACATATACGGAGATGAATCTTTCGCAATAATATCTATGAAGTGCATTTTCAAAATGGATGGGTTGAATTGTCATGCCAACTTAAAACATTTTTAAAAAAAGTTAACATTACTTTCACTGACACCCATCTTAAAATGAAGCTTTATTTACATACATTTTGTGGAATGTTGTTAAGGTAAATCAACTTAAATGTTGAAATCAAAAAGAAAATGACGCAGCCCCAGCCAAACAATTTTTATGAATGTAACATGACTGTACATATTAGATTAACCATTTAGTTAAATATTTAGCTCGAAGTAAGAGGAAAAAGCTCTCAGGAAATGTGCTGCAGACAGCTATATTTCCCGACTTTTCGTCACCGTGGTAAGAATGTACATGCAAAG